CATGTAATTTATGTAGCCCCAAGCTGTCATGTGCCGTGATTCTTAGGTTCGTGACTTTGTCGACAATTCCTCGAACATCTACCGGTAAATCAGCCGACAACTACCGGACAACAAATACGTCTATTGATGCTTAAGTTAATGTTGTCTCAAAACATCATTAACTAAAATTTTTATCCCACACAATAAATAAAGCAACAAAAATATACAAAGGCATAAATAACGGTTACAATGACAATCATGCTGTTCATTCCCAAAATTGCCAACGGAATGTATAAACAGAATTGTGAAAACTGATAATTGTTGATGTACACTATTAATTTATGAGAAAAGACAAACGGTATACGTAGTGGTGTGAGCGAACTGTTTATGCAAAGGTTAGACGTTGCCTCGCAAAAATCTTTCGCGTACCATTTTTCAACTAATATAGGCGTTTTAGCGATTTTTTCTTTCTCATCTTGCTTTCTCCTTCTCGCTCTTTTCTCTATCCCGTTCCATCCCCTTCTCCCTAGCAATCTATCTATTTCTCTCCATTTCAGCCGTAGTAGGTCGCGCGCGTGATGGTTCGCTTAGCACGGGGCAGCAAATCTCCGTATTGAGAAATATGTGTGTAATGAGTAAAGTGCTACACCGTTGTCGGCGCCTGTTAACGGATACCTATCCCAAGACGAAGTTATTTAGTGGTGATGCCGGTAGAGATCTTGCATTATAGTATCACACACATAACCACGATCTTACAACAAATACTCACTTGGATTCATTCGGTTTCCTTCTAATTCTTTCTTACTCAGTCTTTCTGTGATGCTATGCGCGTTTATTGGACTGACCGTATTCTGAATTTAACGGAGTCACATAGACGCGTTTGAACCGACAAAAGATGGGCGCTATAGAGTCCCTTAATTATAGAGACTATCTATTAGGCGGACTCTAGTGGCAAGGACAGCAGCCTGAATAATATATCATCACGGTGGGCATTAAAGGGCATCACTGATTCTCTGTTTCGTGAACTATGTGCTGAGCATCCGAAGCCAACACTAATAGACCCCTACTGCCGGAGAAACCAAACTTATCGCCCCTCCGTGTAGGAATATGTCACATTCTATTTTGCATTCCATAATTTGATGTGCAACAAAAATGACTCTTAGGGCATCTGCAGTATCTATTTGCCATTAGGATTATAGTTTTGCGAGCACATTTGAATTACTCGAGGCCGAACGATTTGCACATTTCGCTATGATTTCATATGCGATGTTTAACAAAAAACGCCCTTCATATCAAAAACGTAAGTAATCGTCTGCTTTGCGTTTTCGAGTCTATTCACCGCAATGGTCGATGAAATGTATTCCCAATGCGTATTCACAATGTATCGATGAAACCAATGCGGTAGCGATGCGGGGGGGGAACTCCTAAAACACGCTGTTATATCCAGATGAGACAATGATACAAGATTGCGTGGCCACAGCTTTTGCTGTTGATCCTTTTTTTTTGCGCGCCTGCACGCGGATGAGACGCCGGCAGTCCGCGGGATATGCGCCACGCGAGCGCCGGGGATGTTCAAGTATGTCAAGGCGCTGTCCGCCAATAGAGAACGTGCGCCAAAATTCGAGGGGCCGGCGCACGTCTCCACAGCGGTCAGCGGATGTCTGTAAGTTTGTAAGCTTTCAAGCAGAAAAAATGAGCAATGCCTTGCCATTTAAAATAAAATTTGCAGCAAGGAGAGATCCGCTAGGGGGACGCGGTCTGATTGAGCTTAATTTTGTCTGGGCTTATTTAATTTTTTTATTTTTGGCTAATTTTTGTGTTTATTTAGAATTAGGGTTAGGGTAGGGTAGGCATTAGGTAGGGTTAGGGTTAGAGTTAGGATTAGGGTTAGGGTTAGCGTTAGGGTTGAGGGGATAACTGAATTTCTGCCAGCTACAAGTACACTAGATAAAGCGCCAGTCTCGCGGGATCACTATCTCTCGCCCGCAGACCTACTAATTTTAATATGAATGAGCACATGAATGCCTGTGGACACTTAATGCCGTTCGCGCCACTGTATCACCTGTGCTCTTCTGTTTTTCTTCACCATCCTTTCTGTGCTCGTTCATCGCTCGATCTAACAGTAGCGAGTGTGCATAATCAGCAGTATTTTTCTGGTGTAAGACTGCGTGGGCATAGTGCTGGGGGGATTCAAGTTGATTATCTACTTGATTAATTATCTCTTGCCTTCTCTAAGTTAGATTGTTCCGCATACCTTCCACAGTGGCCTGGCTTGAAGTCTTTGTATGCGGGCGGGGGCTCGGGGCAGCGGGCGGGGTGAGGAGGTAGCTGACCCGAAAGAAACCGTTTTCCCAGTGGCGTTGTATTATCGTTTAGTTTTTCATTTGGATTTCGCGGCGGAAACTAATGAAGCAAATAGACGCAAACACCGCGTCACTCGTACACACACGGCGACCACCACACACACAAGCACACACACACACACACACAACACACACACACACACACACACACACACACACACACACACACACACACATAGACACGCACACTCCCACTCACGCACGCATACACACACACAGCACACACACATCACACACACACACACCACACACACACCCTAGACACGCACACTCCACTCACGCACGCATACACACACAAACACGCGCGCGCACGCATGCACGCACACTCGCACGCATATGCGCACTGGCGCATCATACATGCACGAGTTATTTCTCGTTTACACGTGTGCGCGCCCGTTTGAATGCATAATATCAGGAGTAAGATAATATAAGATATATTATCTTATATAGCCTATATAATATAGCCTATATTATCTTACTCCTGATAATATCGAATTGGAAAGATATCTTTTTCAAGAGCAGATAAAGAAGGAGAGCGCTACAACGGCCTAAAATGCTGAAACCATTCTGCCAGTATTGAGTCGAATTAATAAACTTCCCCGTTGTTTTGACGATCCTTTGCCAGCTATTATTGATTAAGCTGTCGTTACCTTGTTCATATAAACAAACGCATTGTCCCTACGATGCCCCTACTGAAGATAATGAGCGCGTGAAAAATCTGGATTTTTCACCTAAAACCGACTCGGATATCAGTGTTTACTGCGTCCCTCACTCGAAGTGTTTCCGAGTGCTGTTGCTTCTGGTCGCCGCTGTGTAAGCGCCACAGTGGCGCTGACTCACGTAATACTACCTGAGTGGGCGTACCAGCGTGAGGACGTGGGCGTGAGGTGCGGCAGAGGCTGGGGCGTCCATCACTATGGCAATCTATAACAACGTCATTCGCGGACAGCGCGAGTGTTTCCCGAAGTTATAACACTTCGAGTGAGGGACGCAGTAAACACTGATCTCGACGTCGGTTTTCGCGATTAAAATACCATATTTTCAACCGCTCTTTGATCTCAGGCGTAGGGCATCGCTAGGCGACATGCGGGTTTGTTTGTATATGCAACAGGTAAGCAGCTAATCAATAATACTGCAAAGGATCGTCAAAATTAAACTGGAAGAAGTTTATTAATTTCGACTGAATACTGCAGCTGGTCTTCAGCATGTTTACCCTTGTACGCTCTCCTTCTTTGATACGGCTCTTGATCTTTTGTATATATATGGCTAGCCTATGAACGAACTCATTGATAAAAATGCTCATTCAAACGCAGTACACGGAAAATTTGGACAGTCTCTAATGAATATAATGAACACATTCAGTTAGACAAGTATATCAGTGCAATATCCTCAGATGCCTCGATTTTCTCCCCTTTGGCTGGGCAATGTGTATCTTGATACAGACAGCGTACACTCGGTACTAGCACATAGTAACACATTCTGCACGACAGCAAAAATAACCGCCCGTATTCTGCAATTGGGGGGATTGATCTGTTGTCCCACTTCGTGCTGGTGATGTTCGTGAATTCTGAATCCCTGGACGCCTTCCCAAAAGGATGGACTCGCCTGCTAACTGCCGTACAATTTGGAAACGGTGTGGTGAATCATGTGCTCGTTATAAAGACCGATGGCCATTTTCGCAATGCTCTTCATTTTATTTTGAAAAGCAAAGGTAATGTAGCAGGGTGTGCGTTGATTCAATGCGTAAATACGTTGGTGAAATACTCTTGAACGTGCGTACATCGTGACATTTATTCTGACGCATAGCCAGCTCGTTAATGACCCATAACTACATATTAGACATTCCTTCCATGCCGCTATACTAATGATCACAGTGCTTGTCGTCTCACTCAGTGGCAGTGGGTCATTCGTCGTTGACATTCTGTGCGGCACACCCGCACGCGCGTCGCGCCCCCCCCCCCCGCAGACCCCCCCCCCCCACCCGCACGCCAGAGACACACATTACACGGGAACCAGGAAGGAAGCGCATGCACAGACATACACAAATATGAAACACAATATTACATTCCATAATAATTTACGTTGAACATTGTACACACACAAAACTACACACTACACACCACACACACACACACACACACACAGCACAGCACACACACACACACACAGCACACAGCACACAACGCGCGCGCCGCGCCACACATTACACACACACACGCGCCACGACGCACGCCACACACACACACACACACACACACACACACACACACACACACGCGCGCGCGCTGCGCGCACACCATACACCACACACACACGCATGACATGGACGCACACGCATGCACACACAACACACACACACACACACACACACACACACACACCACACACACACACACGACACACACACACACACACATACACACACGCCACACACACGCGCAGCGCGTGCCTGCAGCTACGACGTGTGTAATCATATAGTATATAGTTGTATACGGCACGCAAGCGAGCGCCATGTATTGCATTCACACACACACGCACACGCACACGCACACACACACACACACACACACACACACACACATACGCGCACGCACGCACGGTAACACGTAAGCCGGTAGAACTTAGAGACTTAGAGATAGACAAGCGGCATATTCGCAC